CGAACGAATAAATGATTAACTGAATGATTGAACGATTGGTTGAATGAATAAATTAACTAATTAATTAATCAACCAATGATTTAATGAATGAATAGAATGAATCAATGAATAAATTAACTGAGAAATAATTTGAAAGATAGTGATAAAATGAATGAATGAATGAGAAAAATAAAAAAAAAGAAACTAAATCATACTTCAAAAACCGTCGTTGTTGTTATCTTTGAATTATCATCGGAACGATCATCATGAGACCTCCATCTGAAACGTGCTTATGCCCACCACAGCCCACCTCTCATCATTCTGTAGACATTTTTTTAATAGCGTATTAGTAAATCAAGGAACAAAGGAACGATCGAATAAATGATTAACTGAATGATTGAATAATTGGTTGAATGAATGAGTGAATGAATGAATTAATTAATAAATCAATGATTCAATTAATGAATAGAATGAATTAACGAATCAATTAATAAAAGAATAATTTAAAAGGTTGAGTGATAAAATGAACGAATGAGAAAAATAAAAAACGAAACTAAACCTTACTTCAAAAATCGTCGTTACAGTGCTTTCCATTGCACCGACCACCACCATCTGGTCAGCACACAAAATACCATCCGAACTTCAGAGTGTCAGTCGAACAGCCAACGAGCTGATTCTTCCTACACCACCATCATCATATGTAAATCATCATGAGACCACCATCTAAAACGTGCTGACTCCCACCACTGCCCACCTCTCATCATTCTGTAAACAAAATTTTTTTATTTGCGTAGTAGTAAATGAATGTTAGAATCTTAGAAGCAAAAAAAAAATTAAATTATAAAATGAAAATAATGTCAAATAAATAAAATTTTAAAATAATAAAGTAAGTAAAATGTAAAAAAAACTTACCGTCGTCCAATCGACAAAGGCAGAATGTTGAATGCGGTCCGGTTCCTACGTTGTCTTCGAAAACTGGTGCCAGTCCTCCTCGAGATTGTTGTTGAAACACAGCCCGTGTTGATGGAGAAAGATAGAGAAAGAGTTGATTCTCATCAGAAAGCTTAGCGGTGCCTGCATCTCAAATTGCTTAATAAAAATAATCCTATCTACCTATTCAATTACCTTAACTAATCTATATTAAATTGTTAATGGTACGATAGTCGAAAGTCCCCCTTCATTCTTCCTCTTTGCAC